TTCTAAAGACTTGAGAAATAGAGCCTGGAATAAAACGCACACTGAGAATATAATGGAATGAAATAGGTCAAACAGAAGTATAAGAAACGGAACTGCGGGACTATGTGAGAAATCTGGATAGAAGACATTATTCGGATTAGCCGATCGAAAAAGTGGTGAAAAGTAAATAGCAGGTGCGATGATGTCACACTAATCTTGCCAAAAAATGGCACATATTTTTATGAGTGGAATATTAACAAGTCAGAAGTTGTGATAGGACGAGATTATGATAATAGAATAAGGAATAGATAGATGGGCCAGGATAGTTGAGGAGTGATAGTACAATCGTTTTCGGCAGAATGCTTGGTCAAGGGATTAGCTTTACTTGTATCTTTGATAAGTCTTAGCTTGGTGCTGGAAATGGCAGGACTCAATGATAATGCCGAACGCAATGCCGGGAAAACGTCTGAGGATGTGGCAATTCCATGTTCCAACACTGGGAATTATAATAGCTACTATGGCTGAAGACTTCGCAAAAGATGCATCCGACTAAGTCGCCGTGACGACACGATCAAGTTGCGAAATCAGGATCATTCCAATTATAAACATCGAAAGGGATTTCGATCTTACCAAAGACCATATCATCTTGTCTTCGGTTCTGTTAATAGTGCTTAGCTATTTCCGAAATGCATTTGTACACAACTTTGCAGACAGCTTTGGTTTCACAACCTACTCATAATTTGTCGACAGTTTCCCCTTACGTAGATGCGACTATATGGAAAAAAACTTATAACAGCCTAATCTGCATAGAGAGAACACAAACTTACAGAAATTATGGGATAATTGATGGTGTCATTTTTAATACGAATAGTATTATGGAATACAATATTTTTAGTTATTTGCCCATAGTTTTCGAGATTTAAAAGGTCGGTAACATCTTGATCCCGGTGTAGTTTCCCGCTTTCCGACCTCAAATTAATTTTATATGTCTTTTTAGCCTAGACATTAGTAATCCCAAATAATTGGTAAAAAAATAAATATACACGCATACAAATCTTTGACTAATTTTACTTATTCACAAATAATGGCTTAAAACACGTTTCAACCTCAGATAAGTGTAGAAGTTCTATCTATTTCAATTAGTAGCTTACATCAATTATAAATTCTCTATCTTAGCCAGACCTAAACTAGTCTTACATATACTTAACTATAATCACAAAAATGCAAGAACTTATTTAATTAGGCGATGCTTCAATTCGGTTATGCTTATAGTTAATTCACCAAACCACAACTATTTAGAGTAAGCATAAAATGACCAGCCGGATGCCACTCTAAAATCAAAAAGTTGGCTATTAGAGATATATATGCTTACAGCAGAATCCTTTGATTTATTTTTGGTAAAGTGTGTCATTTGACAGATTAAAGCTCAGCAAAGATTCATTAGAATTGTGGATGTAGCGCCAATGACATCTAAGCACTAAGCAACAATCAAAACACCACAACAGCCATTTCTTAGTTTCATGTGAGGCCCATGTACGAATCCCTCTGCCATATTTTCAAAACAAAAGGTATATTACGATAACATAAATGCCTCTGAAGTAACTTATCATTTTTATAGAAAAGGGCTAGTGGAAAGAATTAATGAATAGCCTAATCAAAAACCAAGGGATACC